CATTTAATTTTTTACAGGTGTCCCAGGAATTATGAAAACAGCTGTAAAAATAAACCTTCCGCCTCAAAAATGATATAGTTAATTGTCTAATGAGCTGCCTGTCAGATAATTGCATTTTCAAATAAACTGCTCCACTATCAAAAAGTTTTAGGATACGAGGTTCTCTCTTCTGCATAGAGGTACATATTTGCCCATATGCGTGCAATTTTATGAATCTTTTAATTTCACATTATATGCTTTTATTAATAATGAATAATTAACGTCGCAGCTAAAGCTGGAATGGTTGAAGCTGGAAATAAGGATCTCTTTAAAAATACGAGTTTTACTAAAATCCACTTTTCTCTAAATATAAAAAAAAAAAAATTTAAATCAAAAGAGGCAAAAAAAGGTATTTTCAAAAAAAAAACTTCGTATTAAAATAGATCCAATTTCCAGCTTCAATTGTTTCCAGTTATCAAAATTGAATAGCAACTACGTATTCAATATCTAGCGATATTAGGATATTAATCAACTAATACCAGTTAATGAACATTAAATACGTAGAAACATGTCACTTATTTCTACATATTTCATTGTTCATAAGTGTAATATTAATAATCGATGACCGAGTTCTAACCTACGTCTAGTTCAAAAGTTTTTTTGTAACAAAGAATTTAATTTTTCGAGGAAAAAATTTATTAAAGGATGATCTTAATAAATATATGCACCAAAGGAAGTAATGTTTCCTAATTAGATAAATCCGTCATTACTTGATTTATTGGTCACACAACAATGTTTTCCGCCTCAATAATTATATAAAATATCGAGTTTTTTTTGCTAAGCCTCCTACAATCATTTGATCATTTTTTTCAATTTTCTCCATTTTACACTATTTACATTATTTTTCTCATGTGCTACGATAATAGTTATCGAATCACCTTTTAATGATAAATACTGTGGTTAAAAATTCCTCTCTAGGATTTATAACACACTAGGATTTATAATTTACATTGAATTAAAATTTTTATCAGTCATGATTTTGAATAATTTCAACCTTTTAACATTTTTTATGTTAATTATTAATTTCCTGATTCTTGTTAATACATCCTCTCAATTAGTTAAAGGAATTCATTTTGATCGGTATGAAAATGATGATAAAAAAAAAAATTATATATCAAAAATCAATTCATTCTTTTAAATTCATTAATCATTATTAATCTTTTTTTTTATCCAATTATTATTTTAAAGGATTATAACAATTGTGTTAGGAAATTCCAATTATGAAGAATCTATGAAAGATCCTTACTTGGTTTATCTTGTATGTAATTCATATTTTCTCTTCGTTCATTTTTAAGTCGTTCATTTTTTAAGATCTCTTTTAAAAAATTTTTTTCCTTCTTTTTTTGATAAAATTAAATAGGCTAGTCAAGGGATATTACTTTCAAATTATCATGCAATTTGGCACCCATCGCAACCGAATTATATAGCAATGATTCGGTCTTCAAAAAGTGGTGTGGTATATATGAAACAAAACATATAAGATATTGATATTAAATCAAAAATAAAATACGACCAATTTTTAATTTTTTTAATCTATGTATATTT